TGATATAACCAGAAGAAAATAAATAGACGCTGAGCTGACAAAAAGAGCAAATGTCCCCTGTTTTCATTTAGATGTTCTGTGGCCTTCAGGCAGTTTGCCCTGGCTTTCAAAGCCTCACTTTCCTTCTCTGTGAAATGGAAACAAAGATCCTAGAGCACAGAACATTGCTGGCACCCAAGGAGGCCTGAGTCAATGGGGGAGCTGGGGGGGGTGCGGCGCAGGGATTGGGGGTAACTCCGGTGTGTGGACATAATCTGTGACCCCTCTGTGCCCCCAGACAGTCATTATTAAACCTTCCAAGATCCTGCTGTCAGCTAGAACCTGGCCACCCCGCACCCTCAGGCCCTGGAAACCAACACGCGCTCAGCTACTTGTTGATGCAGCCCAGGCGCTCGCACTCACTAAATCAGCCCTGTTTAGGGGCATTCCAATATGCTGGTCTCAGAGGAAGGCGTGACCCCTGAAATACAGACTCTGCCGGGCACCTTTAAACATCTCTGATTCTCGGTGTTTCTTTCCAATTCCATTTTTTCCTCCAGAGAGAATTAATATGGCCACTGATAAAATTCTACACCACCTCTGGGGCCAGCATTAGGAGAAAGATGATAAGGATGCCAGAACGGCAATGAGACAAGGCTTTTGTGTCTCATACAAATTCCTTGCCATTCTGCTGTGCTTGACTCATGTCTCACCCATCAATCTAGTCAAACCAACTTCTGGCCAGTCCATGGACGTTTCTAGCTTTTTCAGGATGTTTCCCGGCCTTTGCCCATGGAATGTCCTACTCTTTTCTTGTAGCCAACCTTACAAATGTTTCCACTTTCAAATCCCAGCTCAAATTCTCCTTATTTGTTCATTCACTCAACCAATATTTAGTGAGGACCTGAGGTGTGCCAGGTGCTGTCCTAAGGGCTTGGGATACACAAGTAATTAAGACACAGCTCCCTACCTTAGTAGAATTTTTATTCTAGTTCAGGGAACAGCCTAGTACATTAAAAAGCATAATAAATACGGGAAAGTAAATATGATGTTAGTGGTAGTGGTGATGGATGCAGCTTGCCATCTTAAATAGGTGGCCAGGGAGGAGCTCCCTGAGGCCAGCTGTGAAGGAGGTAAGGAGTCTGGGCACTTACCTGGGGGACCAGCGCTCCTGGTAGATGAAGTGGGAACTTGAAGGCCCAGGGGTGGGTGTGGCGGTTACTGGAGGGAGGATGAGGAAGAGGAGCAGAGTGATGGAAGTGGTCAGAGGTGTAAGTAGAGGCCAGTGTGCTGGGCCTGGTAATCTCTGGGAAGGCTTTGCCCTTGACTCTGAGGCCCATGTAGAGCCCTGAGTGAAGGGTCCCCATGATTTGACTTGCCTTTCATCCGGACCCCCTATGGCAGTAGGGAAAATGGGGGGTAGGGTGGGGCCAGGAGCCAGAGGAGGGGCCTGGGCCAGGGTGCTGGACAGGTGGGGAGAGGAAGTCAGATTTGGGATGCCCGATAGTTCCCACATGGTGCTGATGGACTGGGTGTGGGGTGGGAGAGAGAGCAAGGTTTCAAAGACACATGAGGATGGGGCCTGGCCTTGGAGCCTGTCCAGGCTCCCTCGTTCATATCTTGGCGTATAATTGTGAGTTATATGCTTAATTATAATCATGTGTCTCATTCTTTTTTGAAGAACATTATGGACTCTATTGCCAAAATAATAATAATAATAATAATAATAATAATAATTGTGTGTTTAACTGAAGGGTGTTCCCAAGACCCCCTACAGGCCAGCCTCCATTAGGCATCCTGACCATCTGTGTAGCTTGACTGGAGGCACAACAGCAGGGGGCGCTACCCACACCCCACGTGAATGGGGCCTGAGTGGTGCATTTGGGTCCTGGCTGGTGGTGGAGTACAGCCTACTGGTCACTTGGTTTACCTAGTGGGTCAGAACTTTTGTAAAACACTCGCTGCAGAGGTAACAGCCACACAGTAAGCACCTGACAAATGTTGGCTGAAATGATTATGATACACTTGGTCTGTTACACGGTCCTCACACTTTTGGGGGGTGTCAAGTATCAAAGCACCATTTTATAGATGGGGAACTAAAGCCTCAGCAAATTGGAGCATGGTGTGCAGGGGCAAGGTGGAGTCTGGGCAGCAGAAAGGGTTAACTGAGTTAGTGCCCAGGATATCTTAGCAGTGATAACTCTAGAGCTGGGTGGTGGTAAAGAGTCCAGACTCCCTGTGTGATGCTTCCTCTGCTTCTGTCCTCCAGGAATTAAACACCCAAGTAGGAATCAATAAGAACAAGAAAGAAAAGAATCCTAAATTCCTTCCATTTTGATCCTACTTAGAATAGCCCAGTAAGGTAGACCTTATTAATAGCCCCTTTTTACAGAAGAGGAAAGTGAGGCTCAGAGAAGTAAGTGACAGAGTCCAGAGCTCACCCTCTGAGTCCCTAAATCTCTAGATAATTAGTGAGCAATATATACAGTTAAGTGCTAACAACTTAGCACTTAATTATATGCTATTTCTCACTATTGTATATAATTTAATACTAATTGCAGGGTTTCAGAATGAGCTGAAGTTAGCGGGGGTGAGAATGGCAAGGGTTCATGGAGACTTTAGGAACCAAGCTAAGCCTCAGAGAGGATTTGGGTGGAGGCTGGAGGGGGACAGGGTGGGTTTCTGGAAAAGGGAATAAAATGATCAAGGCATCAGGTAGAAGTGAGCGTGGAGGGGAGGGGAGTGTCTAGGATAGTGCTATTTAAATAACAGAACTAAACACGTAGGTGTAACTCACATCTTTGAGAACTTTGTGCCAGGTACTTCCCCTAAATCCTTTGCCAATCCACACTTAACCCAATGAGGGAAAGAAAACTCCAACCAGGCAGATAGCTATTATTCCCATTTCAAATTAAGAAACCAATGACATCTGTGACCTGGAGCCAGACCTAGACTCCAGAGCTCTTGTTCTTCCCAGCTCAAGTTCAGAGACGATCTGACGAGAGGTGGGGGGTGTGGTGGTAGATGGGGAACAGAGGTGGGCTAGTTTCACGCTGTGCTGCTCTAAGTGTGACCTCAGTGGCATTGCCTAGAGCTTGTTGGCTGTGCAGACTCTGCAGTCAGCACGACCAGGGTGATTTGTGTGCCTGTTAGCATTTGAGAAGGGGGCTGGTGAGAGGTTTGATTGGATAGATGCCTCTGCCTGTTTCTGGAGACCTCTCCCTCCACCTGAGAGTAAATGTGTGCCCAGAGGCTTTGAGGTGGAAGCCCAGAACAGCCAAGGAACAATTCTGGGTTCCCATCCAGGGGACTCATTTCCTTGTTATCAGAAAGAGAAATGAAGATGAAGGGAAGGAGACTGAGGGAGGCTGGGTGTGCAGACAATGAGTAGCGCGTGGGAGGCCACAGGAGTCAGGGCAGCCAGAGGCGGCATCAGGGGGCAAAGGGAGACTGGAAACCACAGCAGCTGAAGCAGGAGACTGTGGGTTTGGGGAGGGATGAGTAGCCAGCAGTTGCCCAGGATAGAAAGAGCTATTACTGCCTTTGGTTAAGGAGATGAAGCGTCACCGTTGGAGAGGGTTCTGGTAGAATAATAGGGTCAAAGTCAGGTGTTGAGACACTAAGAAAAGAATGCAGGAGATTCTTTCTTGCCCCTCTTCTCCCCATGATAATTGTTGGGATTTTCACACAAATTGCATTTCTATTACAAATGTCTTACTTGCCATTTAAAACTTAATCCCTGCAATTTGAGACTAGAATCAAGTTGATATGGGCTCTTTAATCCAGTCCCTTGGCCAAAAGTAATTTAAGAAACATAGAAAATCTCAAAGCATTGTTTATAGTATTATCCTATTTTTGTTTCATGTGTATGTTTATAAATATGTATATATGTGTATTATAAAGAAAAATATCTAAAGGACTATGAATCAAATTATAATGAAGGTTTTACTGTATATACATGTCATTTAAATGTGTATAATTTATTATACTTTAATTATCCCTTCTTAAGCTATAAAAATTATAATAGAGGTTATCTCTAATGGTCAGATGATGGTATATGACTTATAATTCTTTTGGCTGCAGATGACAGAAACTCATATGAAACTTATAAAGCAATTAACTAAATGGTCCAGATACTTCTTCAGGCATGGCTGGATCCAGGGACTCAAATTCTGTCATTAGGAATCTCTGTTTCTTCAGCTCTCAGATCTGTCATCTTCTTAATTGACTAAATTCTCAGGCACATCTAGGTCTGTGGTTCATCAGCCTAGCACGCCAGTGGAGAGAGAACAGCTTTTTTCTGAGACAATCAGCAGCAGCCCAGGGCTATCTTTCAAGGGCCATGGCTCATCCTTAGACCAATGGGTCACTGGGATAGGAGGAAGCACTGTGTTGGTTGTCAAGGTCAAGGTCTGTGACCCAAGATCAGAACAAAAGAACTTTCAAGGACATCTAAGGAAGCCAGGGAATTGAAAGAAGGCACCAAGTATTTCTCCAAAGGAAATCCACAGCCCTGGTGCCAGAGGAGGAGATGTAAAACCATAAATGTCTGCTCTAAAGGGGCCTTCTCTCTCTGGGGCATAGATGTTTGTGATGCCTGAGTTGTTTATAATAAGCATGTAATTGTCTTGCAATAAAAGGAGAAAAGGGAGATCCCCTCTTAAACCACTGTTTGGTTGTATCTGGTTACAGCAATTGAGACAGCTAATGAGTGTGGAGAAAGCAGTAAAGCCCCCACTCACCCGGGCCTGTACGTTGTAGGGCCCCGGGAGACTAAACCATGGCAAGACTAGGGAATCCACCTTCTCCTTTTCATAGCTTGTTAGTTGTGTATGTTCAAGACCCACTGGGCCGTCAGATGATCTCTGGGGCTCTGGGTTGCCAGAGTGAGGCACCCGGGGAATTGGGCCTCCGTCAAGGTCAGCCTCTGCCCCTCATCCTCCTGCCCGGGTGCATCACGCCCGGCTCAGTAAATGCTTCCCTGCATTCCGATATCACACCGATCTGTTTCTTCATTTCAGGGTTACACTAAGGACATGGTGACAGACTTTGATGAGAAACATGATGAGTATTTAATATTGCTTCAGCAGAGGAACCGGTAAGATGAAGCTGCTCGACGGCAGCCCTTAATATTAGCCAAATAAAAATTCTATTTAGATTTATTAGCAGCATGCAGGCTCTGGTTCACACAGGAATGGGATGCAGTCACCCCCCACTCAGAGGCTTGGAATATTATCTGCAATCCCAGCTCCTGTATCTCCATTCCCTGATTTAATTGCCTCTTTTGATTGAGCTGTAGCACACGGTTCTTCGTGTAAATACTGCCTCTTGATTCCCTGCTTCTGTTCTGGGAGGAGGTGGGCTTGTGAAAAGCTGGAATTTGGCAGGGCCTGTGCACTAGTCACCTGAACAGCCCCAACTGATCTTGCAGGCTTTGAGGGCCCTAGCAACCTGAGCCTGTAACCATATTGTGTTGTGTAAAGGGGGGATCGTGCCGTTTTTTTTTTTTTTTTTTTTTTTTTGGTGATGGAGGTGCGAGGCCATGCGGTCAGCTTGAAAGAGGCGGCCTTTTCTCAGTGCCTTTGCAGAGCTGTGGGAGTTCATTTTCAGGGCACTGTGGTCTGTTGTCAGGCCTGGAACCCCTCAGGGAGCTGGATTTGCAAACTCAAATGCTAAGAGGGACCCACAGCGAGTGAAGTGGCTCAGTGGGGTTCTGGTACCTGGAACTTTCATGTCTCTGAGCCAGTTCTGTTTATGGGAACATACCTTCTATCCTGGTCAGGGAAGCTGGAAATCTGATTTTGTATTGAGAAATCTCCTGAGTTTTAAAATATGGGCAGTGAATTCAAATGAAAGGCCCAACAAAGGAAAGAATACTGCAACCCCCCCCCCCCAAACAGATCTGCAAGTGGGGTACTACCTTGGGCCTTCATGTTATGGGTTTGGACTTGGGGTCTGGTGGGTAAGAGAGTCTATCTAGGGATGGTCATCCTGAAATGGGGATTCAACCCTTGCCTGGCTGGACACTTGGTGCTTATCAGCCAGATCCCTGGTGGCGTGTTACATTGGACAAGTTGTGATGATCCAAGTTAATCCCAGAAGCTGTAGGAATGTTGTATCCCTGCCCATAGCCTCTACTAAGTTCCGCTAAGACCCCTGGTATTGACATCAGTAATACTGTCCATGTTTCCATATGCCCCCTGGGGAGGCAGAGCACCTAGGAATTGATCAGCTCTCCGGGATCAGCTGGAAATGCCAGGCAGTGTCCTTTGTGCCGAGCTGTTCTGTGCTCATCTCCCTCCGTCCCAGAGACGACCTCAGACTAGCAGAGCGGAAGGCCCGTGCTGATTAGACCGGTGTGGTTTTTATCATCATTAATGCCACGGAGCAGGATGTTTTTATTCAGTTCTGGCAGGCTGGATGGTGCCACCGAACACCTGGGTGATCGTTTAATCATGTGCATGTGACTTGTCTGGGAGGAGAGTGTCACCGTTCCTTGGAGCAAATTGCTTTTCATTAATTAGGGGAATCAATAAGTGCACCATGAGAGAAGGCCCAGCCGAGCACGTAGATGAGGCTACCCACAGACAAGGTTGCAGCACAAAGGTGATTTTAAAATACACTGAGTTGCTATCAAAACTGAGTTGCTATCAAATTGTGGGGATGTATGGTCGCCGAGAGGAAGCTGGCTTGACAACAGGAGATTAGGAGGTAGGGCTAGAAAGAAACACTTCCAAGAGGAGACTTAGGATGATGGGAGCACCCCTGAGATAGGGTAGGGTAGAACCTACCCTTGTTCCATCCTTTCATCTTACCCCTACACTCCCGGATGAGGCAGAGACAGTTATTGCACCCATTTTGCAGACAGGGAAGTAGAGGCCCAGGGAACAATTTGCCCAAGGTGGGGAAGCAATGGAACTGGGCTTTGCTTTCTTGTTTGTGTTTCATTTAATATTGTCATAAGTGATTAAGAAAAGAGAAACCTGCCAGGGTTGCCAGTGGCCCCAAGTTCACTAAAGAGGTTTCTGTGACTAAGCTATAGCTTACTTTGAAATCTAGTTTTATGATCAGTAGTCAGTCTTTCTTCAACTCTCAGCTGTTTTCTCATGTTGGAAACGCCTCGGTCTGTCCTTGGCCAAGCTGGAAAAGAAAACCCTGTCAGCTTCTCTGGCTGTCTTGCGACCTGAGGTGTGGTCAGGTGAGATCTTCTGAAAGCTCTGCCAGGGACACAGCTGCCCACAAGATGCTGGGCACGTTTATTCTTTGATTCATTCAACAGGAACTCATCAAGTGCCTTCTCAGTGCCTGGCCTCACTACCAGTGTGAAGGAGAACCTTGTGATGAGGAAGACAGACTGTCACTTAGTGCTCCTTGGGTTGGAAGGCACAGAAGCCCAAAGTAAATGGACTTTAAGCAACAAGGAAACATATTGGCTCATAAAATTAAGAAATCCAGGGTGATACTCTGGCTTCAGGCATAGTTGGATCCAGGCGCTAAAATTCTATCAGTGAAATCAGTCAATCTTCACCTCTCAGCTCTGGTTCCTTACATTGGATTCAACCCAGGCAGGTATTTCACTCACAGTGGCCGAGGCAGCCCCTAGAAACCCCATGCTTACATCTTTCCTGCAGAGAAGAGAGCACCCATTTCTAAGAGCTCCAGGCAAAGTGCTGGATGGGGGAGGGTTGCTTCTGTTGGTCAGTTGGGACGTGTTCCAGGTCCTGAACCAGTTAATCCCGTGTCCAGTGAGGTAGCTTAGCCAGATGACCCAAAAGCTGGGTGGTGATGTCAGTCTCACCCAAGCCCCACAGAGTAAAAGAAGGCATGGCACAGTCCCAAAGGGAATCGGAGAGATTATGTCTGCAAGATGGGGGGCATTGCAGGGCAGGCATGAGGAACGCTGTCTGCCCTTGAGCTCAGGCCGGTGTCTGCCCACGCAGCAGGTGCCCTTGAGCTCGGGCCAGTGGCAGCAAGTACAAGGCTGCCTATAACTGTGCTGGAAGAAGCAGAAAGTGATTGCCCTGCAGGAGGGGACAGGAGAAGGAGGAAGAAAGGGGAGAGGTCAGAAAAAGAGAGAAATTCTCTTTTGTTTCCTTTATTTCACTTCTACCCTTGGGGTGGCCCCTGTTCATCCCTGCACAACCCCTCCCAGAGCAGCTTAGTGATTCCGGTCACTAGGCTTCCTGAAAGATGTAATCATACCCGACGGGACTCCCGCAAGGGCAACCAGAGTGATCAAAGTGCTGAGATATGAGGACTGACTGGAGAGATTAGGCCCTTGCATCTGAAGCGCCGATGACCGAGGGCTGGAATGGACACCTCCAGATTGTGGGAGGGAGGACCAGAAGCAGGCGTCTAGCAATCCTATTACTTGTTTTTTTTCAAAAAAGTCATTTGAGGGAAACTTACAGGAAAATGAACTCTTAGGAGCGGTGAACCTGCTGCTTCAGGAGAGGTAAGGGTGAGGTGGGGGGGGGGTTGCAGACAACCAGCACCCACGGGGCCCTCTGAGCTAGAGCTGCAACCTAGTCTCCCTTCCATCCTCAAGACACCCCACATGCAATTGGCCACATTCTTGGTCACATTCTGCAGGAGAGAAAACAGACCCTGGGAGGTTAGGGCCTGGCCAAGGTCATACAAGCTGGGGAACGGCAGGGCCTCCAGTATTTAGCTTCCACCTCTGACCTCCCAGAAGACAGATACCAGACCCTGTGGGCCGCCCAGGTTCGGGAAGGAGTGGCAGACTTTTTGCACCACTGCCCCCACCATTACCTCTCCATCCTTCAAGGCTCAGCTCAAATGCCCCCACCTCCAAGAAGCCTCCAGCTGGGAGCCCCTGTTCCTGAACTCTGAATGCTCAGAGCCCTGTGGCGTGCTGCCTGGTGAGCAGATGAGAAAGAGCACAGTGTGTGATGGAGAGACATTCTCAGGAGTCTGAGAGACAGGAATTTAAATCACAGTTGCTTCTGGATACTGTAGCCACGGGCAAGTTGCCTGTAGACTAGGCCAGTGGGAGGGCCTGTCACACCCCAGGGCCAGTGAAGGACTAAGTGAGACAAGATACTTGAAGGTCACAGCCAGCCCACCAGCGCTTTTCATCGTCATCATCCCTGCCTCATGTTACCGTTATCTACGCCTTCTCCTTGAGCTGGTATCCAGGTAATCCTTCAATGCCTGATGCTGCAGGAACCCCTGAGCTGACCGTTGGGGTCACTGAGGTCCAGATGCACCATGTGGCTCACTGCATGCCCAGAGCAATCACAGCAGTCAGAGTCCAAGATAGTTCAGTCATAAATCCAAGTCGACTGGACCACGAACAATGCACTTACCTGCTGGGAGCGTGGCTGAGGCCTCTTCACCACCTGGGGCCCTGCCTGGGGCCTGTCACACTCCTGCACGACACCCTGTGTTCTAACTCATGGTTCTTCCACGTCCCCTTCTGTGCACAAGAGCACAAGTGACCCCCAAGACCAACATGGGAAAAAGCAGCAGTGATGCTGTGCCCTGCACTCCACCCGCAGGGGCTGTGCTCGTGGGCACATCCGTGGCTTCTCCCCCAGGCCGGATTTTGAGTTCCTTGGGGTCCCTTGTTCCAGAAATAGATATTGAGCATTCCTCACCATCCTGGCACTTAGCCCAGACCCCATGCCCAGAGGCTCACAAGGAGAACGCAGCCACTATGCCATGGAGGGATAGTGACACAAACCACAGAACAAAACCCACAGGGGACAGAGTGTGGCAGGGCAGCCGGAGGCCAGGGGCTCCGATCCCCCTAGGGGCTGGGGCTGAGTCTGATTTCTCTGAATCCTCTACACCTAGTGCAGCGTCTTATGCAAAGTGAGCTATCAGTTAAAAATAAAAACTTTGATGCCGTGTGAATATTACCGACACACTCAGCTGCAGTAGGGGAGGGAGTTCCTTTAGCCATTCCTTTCACAGACTGAATAATTAGCCCCTCATTTATCAGGTTTATAAATCCACATTTTCATAAATCATCCTGATTAAAGAGGGCACACATGGAACGTCAGCCCGAGTTCCTGGGTAACAGAATGCCACCGTCACCGTTAAGGTAGCATCAGGAGACAGGGCAGTGTCCAGAGAGCAGTCGAGGCAGGATCCCTGCCCCGGGGGTAGATTTTCCTCCCAGTTGCCCTGTGTCCCAGGGACTCTGGGGCCCTGGCTCCCTGCGCCACGTCCCTGGAGACTGTTGGTGCAAGCTCCATCCTGGCTGTTTGCTCTAGTGAACGCAGCCTGGGCTGTGTTTGAAAACTGTTTCTTAGTTACTTGTGTTTTCCTTCTGTTTTATGCTGTTGTCCAACAATCAGGCATCTCCCAGGCTTCTGAGGCTGGCAAGAGATAAGCAGTCTGTAATAAATGTTCCTGCCACGGTTGTTGAAAAGATGGATGTACCAACAGCTCAAGAGACATTTAAAAAGCAAACAAAGAAATCACCCATAATGCCACCACCCTACCTCAACAACTGATTTAATTTTTACATTTATCACCTTCTACTCTGGGACCACAAACACTTTTTTTCCAACTTTGCAGTCATCACATGTGCCGTTTTTATTTTGCCTTTTCCACTGCTCCCCTCACCCCCAAACAGATCACAAACAATTCCCTGTGTTTCAGCAGACCTGTCCCGATGACAAGGGCTGCATGATAGCCCCAGTTCCTTTCCCTAGAATGGGGCATTTGGGTTGCTCTCAGGGTTTCGTTATGACAGAACACTGACCACCTCCCAGCCCAGACTCTATGACCAGGAACAATTTACCAGAATGTGCTTCCTGGACAAATACCAAGCATATGGCACTTTCTTTCCTATTCTTCTGAAAAGATTCTGTGACTTACCACATTGTCTGAATTTGCCGGTTTCAACATTATTTTGTTAGCTTAGAAGTTATCTTTGTTGTGATGAAGACCCGGGAGCCAAATTGCTTAACTTTATATCCTAGCCCTGCTGCTAGACTAGCTGTGTGATCTTGGGCAAGTTACTTAACCTCTCTGTGTCTTGTCTCCGCTTCCTTCTCTATTTAGTGGGGAAAATGAACATAATTGCCTCTTAGAGTTGTTATGAAAATGAATGTCTTAGCAGTCAGTCTCTGTTATTTACGGATTCTATACCTGTGAATTTACCCACTTGATAACATTTATTTGTAACCCCCAAATTAATGCTTATAGCATGTTTGTGGTGATTCAAAGACATGTGTTGCCTGCCTCACACTTTCTCAGCCAGATAGGATAAGGCAACAGACACTCCACTTCTTGTGTCAGCTCCCTGTGACAAGTGTCCTTTCAGTCATGTCCTTTGTGCCTGGTTTTTCACACTGTGGTGCTTTTGGTGGGTACCTCTGCTGTCACAGCTGGCCCCCAGGCAGAGCACTGGCGTGCTGGCTTGTGTTCCTAAGTGGATGAAGAGAACCCATGTGTCAGATAAGCTTCATCCAGGTCAGAGTTAACCTGAGTCCCGTGTCGCTGTCAGCCACCTACGAAAGGTCTTTACACAGAGACACACACAAACCCAGGCTGTGTGTTATTGATCTGTTGATGGAAACTTTGCAACCAGAGGGGTAGGAACAGGAGCGATGATGGGTCAGTGTCGCTAATCAGCTTACAGCAACCTGACAGAAACAGAGCTGGCCAGGAGGATCGAGGGTGTCTGCAAGGGGTTTGGGGCAGTCTGGCACGCAGCACATACTCATGAAGTGGTTGCTGTTGTTTTTCGAAATTTATACTTTGCTCATTCAGTAGGAACTTGTTCAAGCACTGAAAGGAGGTGCTTGCTCTGTAAGATGGCTGGTTGGCATCTGTCTTTCTTCATGTGCAGAAATAAATCTCTTTGGAGTGGGGTATGGATGTTGTAAAGACCCCAAGGATTTGGTGTCCAGTGGAAGCAGCTTGGAGGGACCAAGGAGAATGCTGTGTCCTGCTGAGGCTCAATGTGGTGTCCCGTGTGAGGTTGGAGTTTAGAGAAGCTGAACTGGAGCCCTTTAGCCACAGGGAGTGGTGATCCTCTCACTGATTTTGAACAAAAGCCCATATTGATATGTTCTGTAACTGCATCCGAATGTGAAATGATGACATTGGAGATATCAGGGATGAGTGCTGGAGAACACATTTATTTGCTGAAGCCAAAAAATCAACCCGCCTGGTCTGCCAAAGGATGTTTTCGATTTGTAGATGTGCTCTGTAGACCCTAAACCACATTTTGTTACACACTGAACAAAATTCCACTAGCAGAGGGGAAAGTATGACTTGGAGCCGGGAAATCCAGGTGAGGGGGTGGCAGGCACACGCACGCCCGTCTCTGCCTTAGCCGCCCCCACCTCACAGCCCCCACCCCACACCTGGCCAAGGACGTGGGCTTTCATTTTTGCTAACAAGTAGTTGAGCCTCAAAAGGAAGCAGCAATATCCATGCAGGACCCCCGTCTCCCCCTCACTGCTTCTACTGCATACATAACAGGCCTCTGAGAGGCTGTTTGCAGGGGAGCAGCTGGGCGCATGCCCCCCACCCCCACCCCCGGCCTCTGATCAGAAATCCTTCCCCATCAGAACCAGGGTGGGGTGGGCGCCAGGCTCACGTCCTGAGAAACACGCCATCCTTTTGCTTCCAGGATACTGAAGCATTTGAAGACCAAGGACCCCATGCAGTTGAGACTGGAGCACTTGGAACAAGGGTTCTCTGTCTATGTCAATGGGGCCAATTCTGAACTGAAGACCTCACCTCGGAAAGCCGTCCACCCCGACCTCTCCAGGAGCACCTCGCATGCTGAGGGGACGCATGGTGAGCGCAGCCTCATGCTGACACACGAACTCAGGCTGCACATGTCGCTCATTCATCTGTACACAAGTTAGCGATGCCCACTTGGTCAGAAAAAGAGAGAAATTCTCCTTTATTTTTTTTTAAACTGAATCTTGGCCTCCATTCCCCCAGGACAAAGGCAGCCAGAGCAGAAAATTCCTGGCTTTTCCACATCCTAGGTCTTGAGTACCTATAATTTAAGGATATGTCTGGGATAATTCTGATTGTGCCTGATTTTCACTTACATGTCTTAACTTCAGGGCCTAAGCCTGTTGTGATATTTGATTCCACTGTTCATTTCTGAAGTTAGAATCCATACTCTGCATACTTTAAACCTATCGTATATTCCATAATAAAAACATAAGCCTGCGGAGTAGAAGAGAAGGTGTTGTAGAAAGCGCCAACCAACACCTGGTCCGGTACAGCTTCCCTCACCCAGGTCTCAGGGAATGGCTTTCGGTGCCTGTCCGTGGGCACCAGCAGTAGGTCGACTCTTCCATAAAAGCATCTCCGCTCCCCCGTCTTTCACACAAATGCAGGCCTTTTGTGCATGTTATTCTGTACCCTGCTTCCACATCCTGAGATTGTTTCTTTTGTACATTATTATGCATATTATCCCATAGCATGGACGTGCTGTGACTTATTGCCCATTCCCTTTTAGCGGGCCCCGAGCTTGTGTTCTCATGTCTTGCTGCAGTGAATAGCTTTCTATTTAAGACCTTGGGCCCCCTGACATGCATTGTGGATGTCGGTTACAAAACTGCCATCAGTGGGAGCTTGTCATCACTGCCTCACCAAGTCTTCTTCCCTCCTCTGTGATGCAGATGGTGGACGAAGAATCCTATTTCGAGAAGCTGAAGAAGCTTTAAGACGCAACTCACGGACAGCCCCCAGCAAAGTCCAGCGCCGAGGATGGCACCAGGTCTGGGGAGCCCCCACCGCCCACAAGCAGAATCAAGATGATGGTGGGCTTGTGGGAACAGAAATATAATCAGAACCCTTAGAACCCCACAGGCAAAGGCTGGTTCTGGTGGGGCACTGCAGGGTTGCCATCTCTGGTGTGGTCCTGGCCTCTGGAGAGTAGAAGAGTCCTTCAGACCCTGTCTGCACGGTCCACCCGCTGGACTGCTTCACCCCAGCACCACTTGAGTGCATTAAAGGTCAGACTCACAGTCTATTGTGGTGACTCATTTGTACAGCTGGTTTTTATTGAGCACCTACTATGTGCCAGGTACAGTCTTAGATGCCAGGGATGCGGCGGGTCATTAAGACAAAGCCCCTGCCCCACAGACCTGAGACACCAGTTTGGGTCATTGCTTGGGTGCCCACAACTTGCAATTTTGAGCACCTGTCAGGTTATCAGACATATGCTGAGCAACCACAGCAAACTCTGGCCAAGTTTTAATGTCCTCCCTTTTTTATGATCGCTGAGGAGGCAGGAATGAGCTTTACAAGGGCCAACTTAAGAAGTGACAGCATAAGACTCAAATTTATATCTTTTGCTTCAAGCTTCGCATTCTTGCCCACCTAGTTCTTATTTATACCTTATCTTGAAGTCATTTAGACCTTACCTGGGGACCAGTGGGTGTGAACCCTGACTACACATTCAGATTGCCTGGGGAGGTTTTAAAATATAGTGCTCAGGCCAGAGATTCTGACTTGCTTGGTTGGAAGTAAGGCTTTATATGTGTGTGTGTATATCTTATTTCTAAACCTGTGTCACCAAGGCTGGGAACATGGTAATATTTTATACTGTACTGAATGGATGGCACTATTATCAATATGTCTAAATTCTCTAAACCCATCTTTGCAACAGTCCAGTTGGTCCTTGAGTATGTATCTTTATTGTGCAGCTGGAGAAACTGAGGCCAGAAACATAAGGTGACTGAGTCACGCAGCTGCTGATGGAGGAGTGTAGGCTGTTTCAACCCTTGGCTCCAAGGCTAGAGGTCTCCCTTTCCACTTCCCTCCAGGGCCTTTTGTGGGCTGTGGAGAATTGGGGAAGGGTGTTCCTCTCTGCTCAGGCCCACAGCCTTATCTCTGTGCTGAGGAGCCTGGCCTGCCAGGGAACACAGGCGGGAGGCCTCCTTTTGTCCCTAGCAATGAATGTTAATTTCTCATTAATGAGGCTTTTCTCCACTTCTCACTTCAGACAGTCCTCGTTGTTTTGAGTGCCTCCTATTATCAGGAGCCATATTTGCGTCTTGGACTGTGACTTAATGGCTGGCCCCAGAGTCTGTGCAATTTAAAAGACTTGGCCTAAGATTAATTAGCATCCCTCCCCAGTCTCTCCCTGCGGTCCCACACTTCACAGAGCCTAATCATGGCTAATTTCCTGGCTTCCTGATGCCACTAAGGCTGTAATTGTCCTTCTGCACCGAATCAGTCAGGGGTCAGTCAGCGCCTAACAATAGAGACCACTCGGCTATTTTAAGCAGAAACGAATGTGAAGCAGGGAATCAGGTGCTTCCAAAATCTTTGGGCTGGCAGCAGCCTGCTGGGAGCTGAGCTTTCAGGAGTTGGGGCCCAGAATCCTCACACAGGCCTCCAGGACAGCTGTCCCCTAGGGCCTGGGGGAAGGAGGGAGCCCAGGAATGCGGCACCTTAGCTTCAGTTTAAGAATTAGGAAACTACAGACACAACCATTGGCCTCAAAGGTTGCTCCAGCAACACTGCCAAGAAAGGCCCTGCCCACAGCCTGTCCAGCCAGGGTGGGTCGGTGCCGAGAAACCCATGGCCCCCACCGCTGTACCCCTCCTCCCCTCCTACACCTCTGCTTTCCCTGTCTCTTGGGAGATGGTCTGATGGGCTGCACCTAAGTTGTATCCAGAACCTCAGTTGAAAGGGAGTCTGAAAAATGCCATGTCTGGCTTTCTGGGCTCCATTAAACAGGAAAAAAAATCTAGATTCCTATCTCCCTGGGAAAATGGAAAGCACCAGCCCCAGAACCTGGCTGCCCTCTCTCGAGCCACCAACAGGAGCCAAGTGGCAGGCAGTTGCCGCCTGTAGACAGGACACAGCCCTTCCCTTGCTGCAGGCCGCATCCCTCCCTTTGGAGTCCCAGGGCTGAGGTGGAGGGGTAGTTGCAGTTTGTTATCACACTTGAGCTTCCTGCCTTGCCATTCCCCCCTGTCTCATGGGGGTGTTTATTCTTGCGGCCATCACAGTAGGAGGGCTTGGGAGTTAGACAAGCTGCTTACTAGTTGTGTGCCCTGGAGCGGGCCACGTGACCTTTCTGAGCTTTGGGTTCATCAATAAAACCTCCCAGGACTGCTGGGAAGGAAGATGCACACAGTGTATGTGACAGCTAGCCCATCATCTTTCAGTAGGAACAGCTTGGCGGGAGGTGACAAAGTCCAGAGAAATGGTTCAGAGCACGGACTCTAGAACCTGGGTTCAAAGCCTCAGCTCTACCACTCTCTAGTTGTACAGTCTTGGAAAAGTTGCTTTACCTCTTGACACTTGTTTCCTCATCTGTAAAGTGGGCTTGATATGGTACCCACCTAAGGGCCACAGTGAGGATGGAACAAGTCGAGCTTTGTAGAGTGTCCAAGCGCCGGCATGGCGGGAACACTCTGGAAATGCTGTCAGCCCTTGAACTCAGTGTAGGGGTGGAGGCTGAGGGTGCTTGGCCCGGGGGCCTCTATGCTCCTTTACTCATTCAATCCTTCATTTGTTCCTGACCATTTACTGAGTGGTGGACACTTGTAGGTGCTGGGTCAATGCAGCATATAAGGCAGGCCAGGCCCTGCTCTCCTGAAGCTCATGTTGACTGGGGGTCAGTGGGGATGCCTGGGGCCAGAAGCAAGCTAGCAAATCAGCAAGTGCTCTGAAGGAGAGTGAAGAGCTGGATGAGCTGGAGTGTGTCTTGGGAAGAGTCACTGTAGGGAGCGGGTGTGGGCCAGGCTTCCTCAGGGGCCACATCTGAGCACCTGAATGTTGGAAGGAGCCAGCCCCAGGAGGATGGTCACAAGTCTCCCAGTGGAGGCATAGTGAGGGCAATGGAAATGGAGTTGACCTGAAAGGAAACTGGGGTGGCCAGTGCACAGTGGTGGGGAAGACGGAGCCATGGGTTGGAGGGGCCAGAATGCACAGGGCCCAAATACCCAGGAAAGAGTCTGGGTTTCATTTTATGTGGAAAAACTCCCTGGAGGGTTTGAAACAGGAGAGCTCCAAGCTTGGGTTCATGTTCTGGAAAGATCCCCAGTTGCTGTGGCAGGAGGCTCAGGCAGAGGCTGTGAGGCAGGGCTCCCTATCAGCCTCATGAGCAAGCTTCCCCAGCCCCCCCCAGTGCTGCTGCTGCTGCTGCAGCTTCCCCACCCAGCTTCCCCCATCTCTTCAGCTCTCCTCACCCATCTGACCTTTCCCATGTCAGGCTTTTATTCCCTCAATATTCCTTTGTTGAAATTTTCTGAGAGAGAGACTTTCTGAATCTCTCGGTTTCTCTCTGTTCCTCGGATTGTAGCCTGGACCATCGTCAGCTGGATGGGATGTCCACTCTGGCCTGGAAGGCTGTGCCTGCCCCAGAGCTGAACTGGGACTCAGTCCCACGGCTTCTCATGGAGGAGGCTGTGGGCAGGACTGCTGTGCCCACAGCACCGTCACGAGGAAGAGGGATGACACTGATGTCCTTTGGCACCAAAGAAGTAGAGTGAAGTAGAAACTTCATTCATGGTAGAAATTTCGTGGGGGCAGATTTAGGGGGTCTGTAGGCTAGAGAGAAAGACAGTCTTTGTCTTCACCCTTTTGGATGGGCTCCACCATTCTTGGGGGACAGCCAGGGATAGGCAGACTGGTCTAGGTAGCAGAGTCCCCTGTGGCCACTGCTGGCCAATTCTCAAAAACTACCCCTTCAGGAGAGGAACTATGGCCCTGTCCCCAATCTGGGGTTTCACCCATTTGTCCATGCCCAGCAGGAGGAACAGGTAGGGCCGCACAGTCACCTCGTCATCTGCATTGGCTCCAGGCAGGTCAGCAGGGGGCAGAGTGGTCGCAGTGAGTCTCCCAGCCACAGCCTCACTCCCAGCCAGCCCTGCTTCCTCCTGCCACATCCCTACATGCTCTCACTTGTTATCTTGCCAGTTTTTCTGTGTCTCCCCTAAACTCTCGAGTCACCGATACTCTTTTCTCTGACCAAACCCACTTCCTTTGCCTCTTCCAGTAGGGTAGATTTCCCCTCTCAGGGACCCATCCAGTAATTAGGAAGCAGTTTTGGGTAGGGCTGCCCGCATCGACACAGGCTGCCTCAGGTGCACAGGCCTGAGGTTCCCTGGGTCAGAATGTCACAGTCACCCAAATGCCGGCAAGGAAGCTAAGCAGCACCACCTGTAAAACCCTTCCTGGGGCGCTCCAATTCTGGGCACTCTGGGAAGGCAAACTGCAATGGCTGGGTTGGTTTCTTATTGGATCCAACCCTGGTGGTGATAAATGGGCTTTTGTTGGTACTGTCCACCCCCACTTCTCAGCTGTAGATCTTTCCACCGCTCTCCGTGGATTAAGATTTATGGCTTCCTCAGCCTTGTAATACTTGGGTGGACAGCGGCCTAATCAACAGAGCCGTCGTTTACCAAAACGCTGTCAGATTTGATGAACGTCATCAGCTCTTAGCATTAAATTGGTAGTGAAGGGATTGGCCTTCCAGCAATTTACTGTGGGGTGGGCTTTCCTTAAAGGTCTTGAAAGCAAGTTCATTGCAATTATTACAGCAGTGGCTTTGCTTTCGCTCAGCTGGCCTGTCCCGTTTCCTGCGGCGGGCTGGACAGCTCACACACCACCAGGAAGTCTCCCAAGGGAAACTGAAATGCGTGAGGCCCGTTCCTTTGTTTTCCTCTTTCTGAGTTTTGAAACTCAGCAAGGACAATAAATGAAATAACCCATAGAGCATCGGCCTTTACAGCGACCTCGCACAGAACTGTCCCAGTGTCCAGCACTATGATTTGAAGAGATCAGACAAATCTGGGAAGAACAGATCAAAAAGCTGAATCTCCCCGCTACCCACCTGCCTCTGCCAGTGTTGTTAGAGCTCCTTCCTCTAGAGGGAGCCATTTACACACTGCACAACCTGCACAACCACACAGGGCAGCCCCAGCCTTGCTCTTTTCTTCCAGTTGACAATGGCTTTAAAGCTCACGTCTTAGACCACTGGCGAAGAGGGGCGGCAGATACAGATAACTCAGGGCTGACGCTGTGCTGAGTGTGGCAGGGAACAAAACAAGCTGGCGTTGGGCGGGCAAACTGCACAGGCGTTTGGGTGCCAGGGCTTTTAAGTCCTGTCCTGGTGTGTGGTTGATTCTGCCAGGGTCTACCCAGGCTCAGGAGCTACGAGTCGGCAGGAGAAAGCAGCCGCTCAGAAACGCCCACTGCAGGTAAAGCAGCATGCCAGCCGAGCTGGCCGGGAGCGCAGGCATCCTCGCTGGGGCGGGAGGGTGGGAGGCAGGGAGACAGGCTCTGGGGGCTGGTTTGGAATCAGCCTGGGCTCCTCATAGGGAGGTGGGCGTACTCGTGTGGGCAGGGCTGTGCTCCCGCTCCTTCCAGCGGCAGCAGAGGCGCCTCCCTGGGCCAGGGTGGGAGAGCAGGCCAGATGGAGGGGCTATTTATTCCCCTCTCTGACACCCACTCAGCATTTAGAAACTCTTTCAGGACCACATTAATTTTGTCACATGTTGCTTCATAAACACGCTCTTCAGATATGTGTGCTGTGAACTCCTTGAGGCCGGGGCATTGGGTTGTGCTTTTTTTTTTAGAATTTTTTATATCTTGACTTGTTTCCAGAATCTTGTAAGTGATCAGTACCCAGCAAGGACTTGCTGATTCAGTGCCTTAATGCCTACTGTCAACCTGTCTGCTGACATGGGTGTGACAAGAGGTTGTGCGAAGCTCCTGGGAAGGAAGAAGGTTACTTCAGGAGAAGGGGGAGGGGGGGAAATGCAGATAGGACACACCTGGGCACCTCTCCTGGCTCTTTCTCGTTTTATAATTGAGATGGGACCACCAGGGCTGTAAGAATCCCAGCGCTCTTACTTGCCAGTGGGAAGTGCTCAGTTCTGGCACGGCTGGCGCCAGGTGCTCAGGTGGTGTAGCAGGCTCCTCCCCACCTCTCAAGTCCCACCCAGATGTCAGGAAGCAGTTTGGATAGAGCTGTCTCCACTGACACAGGCTGCCTCAGGTGCACAGGCCCCGGGTTCCCTGAGCCAGAACATCACAGAATCCCCCAAACGCCGGCCAGGCGGCTGAGCAGCTACCTATAAAACCCTTCCTGGGGCTCTCCAATTATGAGGGACACCAGCAGCTCTTGACTTACTTTCTGTCACCCTGCTAGTGCATCTCTTTGGGTCCCTTGAACCAGTCACCTAATCCCCCAGCCATGGTAACTGGCCATTGGAATCCATTGCGCTGACAGACCAGGCATGTGAGGCCTCCACTCATGGCCCTCGCTCCAGGACCACATGAACACTTGGATTGGGTGGTGGGGGAGAAGGGAGGAGAGAGGGTTTCCCCAAAGAAAACCGGGTTCTTTTACCAGAAGACAGGCAACTCACACCAGTCATGCAGAAACAGCAGGTCCCACCTCAAAGCCCCACGGACCTCATGCTGCTCAAACACTAATGTGCTATGAATCACCGGGGTCTTGTTAAAATGCAGGGTCTGGTTCTGAGGAAGGGCTGGAAATGAGGCATTTGTCACAGCATTCCCGGAGAAGCCACTGCTGCGGGTCCACAGGCAGCAGGTGGGGCAGCCAGGCTCTCGTCCAAAGCCTCCTCTTCTAGATAAAGGAACAGAAACCCACGGAGGGGCCAAGCTGGGCCTTGTGCCCAGGGTTCTCCCTCAGTGCTGCCTCCTTCCTTTCTCTCCCACCTCCTTTCTCTTCTCTTGCACTGTTTCCACCCCAGCAGAAGGCCTCCCAGCAGAAGGCCTCCCAGCATTGGGATGTTATCAAGTGGCTCCTGGTGGAGGGAGGAGCGAGCTCTCCCCGGATGTAGCATAGAGTATCTACCTCAGATGAACTTCAAAGCCTTTATGGCTTCATCCTGACTTGAGGCAAGAAGGCCTTTGGCCCGGAAGTCCCAGGTTTTTTGTATTCTGTGCCATGCTGCCCTCCATGGACACCCCCTGCTGATGCCAACAGATATTCTAAGAGCAAAGTGACAAAGCCTGGGAGGCAGGGACGCCACACCTGGAGCCTGAGCCCCAGGCAGCGAGGTCTATAGTCCAAGGGAAGGCAGAGCCAAACAGTTCCAGAAACAGGCAGGCATCTTCACAGGCTGGAAGGCATCGCCAAGTGCTGGGATCACTCGTGACAGAAGTGTCCCGTAGCACCTTCCTTCTGCTGCTTCCTGCTGCTTCAGCAGGCCGGCTCCCAGCTGCCTTTCCAGTCTCACACTCTCTCTCCCAGATCTGTCTCCCAGTGCTCTGTAGCCCAGCACTGCCTCCTTTTGTGTTATATACTCTCAGGAAATTCTTTAATTTTTCTCCTTCTCCCCAAAGACCACAGTAGCCCGGGCTGGACACTCATACTTCACCAGCCTGTTGGCGGCAATACGATATGGCGGTTTAGATCCGCTTGGGTCAGCAAACTACAGCCAAATATGACCACGGCCTGTTTCTGAGCTACAGTGGGGCAGGGCTGGCAGTGCCCAAAATACTGACCCAGCAAGGCTGCTGAAGCCACTTGACAGAGGCTTGAATCTGGACTCTGCTTCATCCTGGCTGTGCGACCTTGGGCATGTGCCGTCCAACCTTGTGTCCTGTTTGCCCCTGGGGTGACTGTGAGGACTCAGTGAGCCAATGCACCAGAAGCATTTGGAGGTGCGCAGGTTATCAGGTCAGCATTAAGTAAGAGCAACGATGCGTGGAGGTGGGAGGAAAACACTGTGGACCTGTGGCCATGGATGAGAAAGGAGCTGTGTCCTGTCCCTGAGGGTCTCGTGGGGTTAGTAAGGTCCTGGCATCATTTTCTTCGTCAAGGTTATATAGTGTGTTGACTAAGCTTTTGGGGAAGATGTATCTTGCCAGGGTGAGGGGTTCTAGCACCAACCCGGGCACCAGGGGGAATGCATGGTCTAGGTCACATTCCCTCGACCAGGCAGGAGATTCAGTCCCCATGCACGCTTTGCAGGGCCTCTTCTGTCTCAGATTGGAAAGTTTAAGGAAGGCCTCGCTCTCAGATCCGGCCACACGCGGGGCCACTCCTGGGAGAGAGGCCTCCTGTGATATTGCTCCCAGGGTGTCTGGCTTGCTCTACCCTGGTCCTGGCTATGAAGTCCAGGCCGGACACAGCCAGCTGGGGCTCCAGCCTTGGGCCGGGGTTGGGGGGCCCTCTCTTTACTTGACTGCTAGATGATGCCCTGGGCTGGCTTCCAGGGGCCACAGTAGACAAAACATATACTTGAGGGAGGTCTGCCACCTGTGTAGACTTGATGCAGTGTAAGATGACTAATGCAGCCCCCCATGCCCCCTACCCATACCCCCATGCTCTGTATCATGTCCCTGACCCAAAGGCTGGCCTGCATCATGTTGGATCACCTCAAAGTCAGTTCTCTGATGAGCGTGTCATTAGTGCTGCTTTGACTGGTGCTCAGGGGCTCACCCAGCTTGCCCAGGGTGGCGTGGGGAGTAAGCACTGGAGGTCTAGGAGGCGAGCGGCTGCCAGAGTGCAGAAGCCAGGCCCTTACCCTCACATGAGCAAACCCGGTACAACCACAGACCATGCCGAGCGCCCAGAAGCCAGCCATCAATTAGCCTCCAGCTCAGCTGCATGTAACAGACACAGGCCCACTGGGGCTTAAAGGCCACTGTCATTTTTCTCATTTGAACAAGGTATTTGGAGACCAGGCAGCTGGGATAGGTGGCCGATGCCCTCAGGGATCCGGGCTCCTGCTTCCCCACTGGGCAATCCTTAGCAACGTGACTCTCTTCCTGATCCTTGTTTTCAAGAGATGCTGCTTTGCTCTCGAACATCCCACCTACTTCCACCAGGAGGGAGGGTAGGAGGGTGAAGGGCACAAGTCCTGTGTCACTGTGTGAGTCCCAACTAGCAGGGAAACAACCTCTCCCCACCGCCTTTGGCCCCTTGCATCAGGCTCTCACAACCATCTCCAGCTGCAAGGGCCTCCAGGGATGTTAAAAGTTACTAAAAAGTTCTATTGAACACGCTTTGGGCAGTAGGAACTGTAAGGAAGTGGCATGACGCAGCCAGCCAGCCAGCCAGCCGGCACAAGAGGGTTAGGGGTGGGTGGTGCATAGACATACCTACCACCTTGTCGTCCACCCTGGAAGCGCTAGCCCTCCTGCCTTGGAGGATCAAGGTGTTCCTTCCCCTCCATCTGAAACAGTCGGAATTTTTGTGTGTAGAAATCTGTGCAGATCAGAACAGAAGCTGGCCCGCGGCTCCACATCGAGCCTCCTCTGGACTATTCTGAAGACTTTGAGCCCGATGGGGATGTGACTGTCAAGGCCAAGGACACCTCTGGGGATCATCCACAGGTAGGACTGGCCTCGGCTCTTGCACAGAGGCTAGGGTCACTTTCTAGCAGTTATCTCTTCCCTCTTTCACTTGCCCCACACTTCAGGGAGCCCATAACCAGGTGCAGGATGCCCTGCTAGGCACCCCATGTCCAGAGTTCAGTAAGGCTGGTGCCTAACCCAAAGAGGGAGTGGCATGCCATCCTATATCTTGAGAAGGAGCTGAGAGGTGTGACCAGGCCTGGCAGGACCAGGAGGGCCAGTCTCCAGGAAGGCTTCCTAGAGGGAGTGACATTGGCCTGGGTCCGACAATCTGGTAAGGGTGTGAGGGCCAAAGGTGAGGAAGGTGCGCAGAGCCAGTTCCCAACCTTTGCACCTGTATGCGTGCCTGTTGTTAAATATTTTGAGTAGCACCCCCTGGAGCACAGAGACCTCACGTGGAGGCGGCTGGGGGTCCTGTGTACACCTGCAGTCCATGGCCCTGTGCTACTGACGACGGTGACGTCAGCTTTTCACACCCTTCCTCAGGCCGTCATTCCATTTCTAACATTTGGGGCTGCAGCATTATACCCCAGTCTTCCATTCAGCAGGCCTTTGTCAGCCATCTGCTGTTGAGCACCAGGCCCTATCCCAGGCACAGTAACAAAGAAAGAACAAAACTGACAAGGGGCCTATTCTTAACTCATGTTCCAGAGGAAGAGACAGACAGTAAAGGATAAAACAAGAAAGAAACAATGAGATCATTTCAGGTTTTTGTACATCTGTGAAGAAATCGGGAGAAGGACATGGGACAGGGGGTGGTGTGACAGAGAGGGCAGCATTAGACAGAGCAGGGAGGGAAGGAAGGGGCCCCAGGGGTACGGCATGTCAGCCGACACTGATGGTTAAGGAGCTGGTGAGGCAGTGACTACACTACAGACAGCGGGGACCATAGCACAAATGAGACTAGACCTGTTTGGGGATTGTTTAGGGACACAATGCAGCGCAGCTAGAATGAGGGGGGAGAGTAAATAAGATTAGGGGGCAGGGTGGCTATGGACAGACCAGGCAATGCACAGTGAGCCAGGGTGGGGCCTGGGTTGGGAAAGAGAGTTGAATTTTTTTCCAGGGGTGTCACTTTTATAATTAGAACGAGTGCACAGATTATCTACCTGGTTATTTATAAGCAAGATTATTGAGAGACAGCAGGTTAAAGTCAAATCATTAAGCCAGTCCCTGCCCAGTTTAGCAGAGGGGTATTTGTTCAGGTGGACCCCAGGCTGCAGAGTCAGTAGCCTCTCTCGATGCACACTCTTGCTTCCCCATCTCGCTTCTGTACCAAAAATCTGTGCTTATGAATGGAAATACATAATGGAGATGGGGGTGTTGTCCAGGAAGCTTTCCTCTGCCGGGTGTCGCTTCCTCCTTTGCTCATAAAGGAAGGACAGACAAGGAGGAAGGGGTCACCCTGTTTCACATTCTGGCTGCAGAAAGTCTGGAAGTTAATTGGAAAATTTTGTCTGCTTGGAAAAACCAAGTCCTTTTCAATGGAACGAGCCAATGACCTTGTTTCCCTCCCCAGTCCATAGAATTGGGATTTTACAGTAGGCAAAATTGTGGACTTTATTGCTTTTAGCACCCAAGTCCCTCACATCCCTCTCCCCCGCCATGCCTCCCCTCCACTCCCCACCCCCCACCCCTGCCCCGGCCCTGCTCATGTACACTTTTGAATCAACGAAAACATCCCCAGCTCAGGATCAGCCAGCAGACGGCCAGCAGCTTCTCCTCATGTGGGAGGCTGTTTTTCAGCCAAGCTCAGACGGTTCCAGTCCGGCCCCATCCCACATAACCACTGCGTGCTTGTGTGCCCTTCAAGCAGGAGACGTGGTCATTCCTGCTTCCACTTTGGCCAAACATTGGCACCTCCTGTTAAATGAATATATACCCCCCCTTTTTAAGCACCCCAGCTCCCTACAACACCAGGCAGCCTGTCCCTCACAAGCTATTAAGCCCCATTAGCATTCCTGCGTGCGTGCTCTGAATCAGCAGCGCCCTGTTCTGCCAGCACTTAATTTTCTCCACTGTGAGTGCTTGATTGTGTTCCTTTCTTTCCGTTTTCTCCCCATCTTGAGGGGGCACTCCATAAGGCTTCACAGTCAATTTCCCCTTGGAGTTATTTTCCTGCTAAGTGAAAGAGTAAAATGGCAATGCCAGTTTTCGGCAAGGGCAGGAGCCTTGAGAGGCGCCGTCTGCACAGGGAAAGTGGGGGAAGTACGAGGCGAAATACACTCAGGCATCTCCCAGTTTGCCGAGCAAATGGAGCAAAAGGCAATGCGTGTCTGCGTGTGTCCTTTTCATCTGGCCTTTGCTGTTGAAACACACCAGCCTTTTCACCTTCAATCATACCCTTAGTGCACCTCAATTCCTCGGCGCCTCTGAGTTCCCAGCCCGGCATGCTTCAGACACGACCTGTTGGCCTCCACCGCCCTTGACCTTTGACTCACACGGTGCTTTTAAAAGACGTGAATTACTGACATTTAAGAATCAGCTGAGTCCATGTCAAATTCTGAATCCCGGCTGCCCTGGGAAAACGGGAAGACTTGGGAGCCACGTTCTTACACCCAAGCGGCGGCTGGAACCAGGAGCAGCTGGCCCCTCAGACAGGGGTGTGTGCCCCTGTGCACTGTCCCCATCACAGGTCCCAGCACTGTGCCAGGCACTAAGGATGGAACAGACAACAAATAAATGCAGAATATGCCGGGAGGTGATAGGGCTGGAGAAAGTTGGGTGGGGACTGCCACTTTCTGGGGGGAGGGGCGGGTAAACCCTTGACAAGCTGACATGTGAACACAGACCCCAGGAAGCCAGGGAGTGAGCTTTCCAGGCTCAGGGAGTAGAGGCAGGAAGGCAGTGGGGCGGCTCCAACGGCTGGAGGGATGTGATAGGGGGAGGATGAGGCAGCAAGGCCAGGGCCAGGGCTCAGGTGGCTTAGGGCTCTGAGGAAAGTACTAAAGCTGAGGGATTCTCTTTCATGTGAGAGGAGAAGCCGTCGTTGGGATTGAGCAGTTTAGCAACTCCAGGGAAGGGTGGGCACCTCTTTCCAGAGACTTCCATCAAAACGCCAGGTTTCGTCTTGTGGGCTTTCCTTGAGCCGTGTGTCGCGGTGGGTGCTGTGGCTCCCTTTAACTGCTATCAGGTCCATTTAAGTATTATGATTGAGACAAAGTATAGATTTTGTCTGTTATTGAGATGTTTTTGCCCTGATAGTATGAAATGAATATAAAAAATTCAAATGACACAAAGATAATAAAAATTCTTTTATAATCCACTGCCCCAGCGACCACTGCTGGGAATAGGCGGATAGGTAATCATTCAGACTAAAAACTGTGTCTGTCATTAGATCCGAGAGGAGACAGCTGACCTGGAATATTCCAGTCCTGGCCCCTTCCCAGTGAGTGGTATTTCCTGAGCTCAGTTGCTTTCCCAGTCCCTCAGAGTGTGACAGGTGATGGGAAGACCTAGCCAGCCCAACATCTTCTACAGTGCCTTCTCTGAGATTTTCCTTCCCTTGTGTGGATCCTGGAGTGGAATGAATTGGATATTTTCCCACAATTGCAATTCAGTGTTTTTAAGTCGCTGTGCTTGCTGACGCATGTAAACAATGAAACTACCTGTCAGCACTGTGTAGATTAGGTGGTTGAGCCATGGTCGTTGGCCAAGCAGCCCCAGGGCGCCAGCCTGTGTACCCCGTTCCTGGCAGAGCTCCACTGCCGATCTCTCTAGTAGTCATCAATTTCATGGGTGAGACTTCAAAAGTGGGGAATCATTGTAAGACCAGTCATATTGGCTGGGTGCTTCTGCTGTTTCACATAAAAAGTTAGAGAGAGTGTCTTTTTATAGAACTATTTTTTTATTGTTCTTTTCACAGAAGTGGGATTATGCCCTCCATCACTCTGATAACCAACCCCCCCGCCTTTTTTTTTACTCACCAGCATGTGTGGCCATCTCTCCACCCTGACGCTCACTCAGCCATCTGCAGTGCTCAGAGCACTGTTTCAGGGGGTCCAGCAGCCCATGCTTCTGGCCTGGCCCACTTACTCACTGTGTCCCTGTAGTGGTGTTGGGCAGGCAGGCCTGGGTGAGGTCAGATCAGCTTTGGAGTGAGAGTAGAGAATGGCTTGGGGACGAGGAAAGAGAAGGAGGGCCCAGCAGGTCTTCAGAGTCCTAGGTTGCTTTTCCCATGCCTGGTTCTGTTTGTCTCTAGGGCCCCAGATCTCCCATCAGCACCACGCTCAGCGATTTTAATTTCTCCCTTCTGAACTCACGTGGATGTCTGGACCCACCGAGCAGTACAGACAAAGAACGGATTCTCTTAACTATTCAGGATGTGATGGTAAGATTGATTTTCAGCATCCTAACCGTGAAGGGCCAGAGTGTTTCTCAGAACCAACTAGCTGGGAAAATGACTCAGATTAGCAACAGGATTTAGCTTTCACAAAAGAACCTGTGGCCCACCCACTGAAGGTTTAAGACACCACTCAACAGTCTTAACTTAATGGTGTTATTTCTTTGTTTAACGACAGTAGAGGCTCACTTGAGCACTTACGAAGGGCAGAGCACTATGTGGTGTATGTGTCACCCATCTCTACATTATCCCTGTGAGTTAAGTGCTGCATGTTTTCATTCCTGTTGTATATAGTTTGAGGAAATGAGAAATGATGTTGCTCACCCCGGCCCCAGAAAAGCCCAGTCTGAAGGTCCAGACCCCACGACTCTTTGTTCCTTGGCATTAACAGTCACAGCCTGTGAATCGCACTGACCTGTTTTTGCTTCCGAAAGTGCCCAGCTGTCCTTAGGGGCACAGTCTGAATATTATTGATGTTCTGCCCAGGAGCAAGGTGCTCAGAGGTGACCATCCATCAGCTGTGCTTAACTGTGTTAAACAATGATCAAGAGGTCCACGCCCAGCCAGCTGTCTCCCCAGTGAACCCATACTGGGCACAATGGTGGAAAATGCAGTTCAGAAATGAAATCCAAGGAGGAAGCAATCAGACAGACCCACACAGAGCCTCAGTCTACAACACCACTGGCCCGGAATTTCCAACCATGTCAGTGGCAGAGAGCCAGAGAAAGAATGTTCCCCATTAAAGGAGGCTACTTACCCTTGGGCTGGGGGTAGGAGGGTTGCTATAAATTTAAGGATGGTTTTGGGAACTATGTTTCATTAGATAATTTTGTATTGATGTTAAATGTTCTAAATTCAGTAAACCCTGTTGTGGTTACATAATCCTGCTTGTTCTCAGGAGGCACACGCTGCAGTATGTAGGCACGAGGGGGCAGGATGTCGACAAGGAATGCATTCGCAGGCCAGAGGAAAGAATAGGTGTTTGCATACTGACAAGGAGAAATGGGAGGAGAGAGAGAAATGTGACAAAATGCTAACAGTTGGTGGATGTAGGTGAAGGGTGTTGGAGGATTCATTAGACTATTCTGATAAGTTTTCTGTGGGTTTTACTTTTTTTTTTTTTTTTTTTTTTCAAAATAACAAGTTTTTAAAAAGGTAGCACATCAAAGAGGCGGGATGCTGCTAAGCACCAACAAAGGAAGACATGGAGAGAGAACTAGAAAAAAGGAGATCTGTTTAAAAAGCTTGGTGGGTTGTATTGCCATCAGCTTCCTGACAGCACTCGTGTACTCTGGTTACCCAAAATGTTACAGTCAGGGACATGGGACGAAGGCTACCTGGGGTGTCTCTGCATTGTTTCTCACAAACAGCATGTCAGATCTACAATTAGCTAAAAATAAAAAGCAAACTAAATAAGTAACACAAAGACAAAGCCCAGGTCTTCCCAGCCAGAAGTTCTGATTCCGATCCTGGGTTTGAGCTCAGACATGGTTACTTTTTGCAGACACCCACGTGACTATCATTTACAGTAATGCTGGAGAACCACAACTCTAAGCAAAGGATTGAGCTGTGGATCTTAAGGTTTAATATACACGAGAATCACTAAGGCTACTTGTTTAAAATGCCGAATTTAGGTCTGATTTTTAAGTTAACAGAATTTGTACCTAGGAGGTAGCACAAATTTTAATGAAAGAGGACCCTGGGTGATTCTGAACCAGAAGGCCGAAAGATTCGAGTCCACTTCAAATGCAAAGAAAGTTTGGGAGATACTTTGGGCTTTGTGACCTGGATTTGGAGGCTTTAAAACAAAAAAAAAAATTGAAAAGCTCCACGTCAAAAATCTCTTCTACATCATATATTGTATCTTATTATCATAATATAACTGTAAAGTAAAAAATGAAATAAAACCACAAACAAAAATCCATTAAGGTTCACAAAAGTCAGAGAGGGGGTGGAAGAGGACTCTGCCCTTGTCTTTGATGCCATACCCTACACTACTGTAAACTCAGGTGGGGGAAGATGAAGAAACAGTAAAGGAAGACACAAAGCATAATAGCCCCTGGCATCTCTTGTGTTACAGGTCAATTTCTATCCAGAATATTCACCATTAGTATCAAGAAAAGACACATTATGTTCAACATACTCTTAAGAACACAGGAAGTCTTAATCTTTCAGAAATATTTTCATAGAGAGTTATTTTCTTTAAGTTCTTGACTACTTAAAGAGGTGAATTTTTAGATACCTAGAAAATTTATTTTGTATTATTCAGGCATTATTTAAATGAATATTCAGCCTTTCTATTTGTTTGTTTTTTTCCTCCTTTTCATCCTGTTCAAAATATATCTCAAACTTAAGAAAAAACAATCCAGAGAAAATAGGAGCATGTTGGAAAGTTAGCTATGACTTGAAAAATTTATATTCAAGACAAAGGGAGAAATATAGTGAAGAATGGAGTAAGGTGTTCAAAAAGGGGGGCCTGGACCAATAAATGCAAGGACCAACTTTACTCCCAGATGTGTTTTGTTGGCTGGTCTGGTATTGTGCTAGTGTATCATTTTTGCTATTTTCTTTTGAATTAAAAAACTTTTATTCTGAGTATGCTCCTTCTTGTTTGCCCAGGTCCCCACCACTCCCTATTACGCAGCACTGATACTCACATTGCCACTTAATACTATATTATACCTTCTGAAGATACTGGAGTTTGTGACTTCTGTTTTAGGGAGTGGAAAGCACAAGTGACTGAGGCTCACCATACCTGATGAGGGTCATTTGGGCTCTTCCATAAACTCTGTGGGGACTTGGCTAAGTGGAATCCTTATTTCCTCCTGTTCAACAAGAGGGAATAGATCCAATATTTCCTGTGCCTGACAGTTCTGAAATCATAAATCCTAGGTGTTGTTCATCGGTGTCCCCATATTGCAAAATCCACAGCAGTAAAGAATGCATAATAGTTCTTGGAACCCCAATTCATCCAAGGACAATTTTGGTAGGCTTTCATAAGCTACATATCTTGGCTTGAAACACCACTCCCTCGCCCCGCCTGCGACCCAGATCTAAGCTTCTTGACGCACTGTATGTGCTATGTTTCTGATCCCTAGAAAAGTGCCTAGCATAGAGTTAGTTTGCAAATAAATCTTTGTTAAGCAAGTGAATTGAATAATTGATTGATTGAATCAAAGGGTGAGGGAGTGGTATAGATGTTGACTAGACACTCTGACACGCCCACATAAGCTGAGTTCAGTCATCACATCAGAAAGTTATAATTACAGTGACAATATTTTCCAAACTATGAATCAGGACATGTAATCTGACAATGATTTTTTTGTGTGCTGCATGAGGTAGAAGATTGATTTTGGGAGATGTAGTTTGGATCCTGAAATATTGGGATTTCTGACACATGGCACTAATTAAAATAAATATTTTAAATGTCATGAGCAAGTACTGCTGGGAAGAAGAAAGACATCTCTTTTCTTGTTGATTACTGATGAGAGAGGAGAAAGAGGTCTTTCTCCTTCCCAGTGGTATTTGAGTTAGCCCCTCTGGAACCCAGAACCATCAAAGGCATGGTGTCTTGAATATACTCAGAGAAGCCCAGATGGACAATTCAGATGAAAAGATAGACTGGCTGATGACATTAGGCAGGCCCCTGGGCAGGTGAGTGAAACAGTACCAGGCCAGCTGAACAAGAATAATCTGGTGATGAGCATGAATGATTCATGTGGAAAGTTGCTGAACAAGCACTAAATGCCCATAAAATGCAGATCCAGAGATGCAGTGACCTCTTCACCCGATAGAGTGTTTCTGTAAGTGAGGACACAGGATGGTATCTGACTCACTAAAGCATCTTTTTAAATCTTAGTTTTTTCATCTTTTTAAATATCAAAGACAATGAAGGATGACTTCTGAATCGTTATTGGCATGAATCTTTTTTATTTCTTGCATTTATAGCCCACTTACAATTTCTTAGGTATTGTTATATTATTTTATATAACATCTAAGACATGAATGCTTCCTCTTCAGAAAGGATTCAAACTATTCACAAGTAAACTGAGTAAAATATGATAAGCTCTCTCTACCTACCCAGCCAGATCATGCCCAGCTTTTAGTTTTATTGAGTTAGAATACTTTATTTCATCATTTATTTATTTATTTTACTTTTATCTTGATTATTCCCCAAAACATTTTGGTTTAATTTACTGCTTCTCCCCCATCCCTTAACCTGATTTCTGAAGTTAAACATTTAATTAATTTATTTTCATCTTGTTTTCTAATATATGAATTTTAAGGCTATAAATTTTCCTCTAAATACCACTTTATTCTTATTCTACAAACTTTGCTATGTGTGCTATGTCATTTATTTCCAATTGGTTTGTGATTTTTAGGGTTTTTATTCTCCTCTTCATATAGAAGAGTTTATACAGATGTTCTAAGAAAATAGTTTTTTGTCTGTTTTTTGCTAGATTTTTGTGTTAATTCCTAATTTTACACATATATAAGAATGGTTTGTTTACTCTCTGTTTCTTGAAAGTTTTTGAGGTCTTGTTTGTCTGCCAGATCATGTTTATGAATGCTCCATGGTATTTCAAAAGAATAATCATTCTCTTTTTAGTTTATGGTTCTTAATGTATATATTAAATCAAGATATCAATTGTGTTATTTAACTCAGTGATTATAGATATCCCGGTATGGTTGCAGAACATTTATATCAGAATCACCAGGGTTAAAATCACTTATTAAAATACTTTGATATTTTAATAATCACTTATTAAAAATGTGAATTTTCTTACCCCACTCAAAGATGCAGAACTAGGGTCTGGGAGGGGAGCATGGAGTACTTAGAATCTGTATTTTTAATAGGCCTTCCAAGAAATTCTTATGCTCAGTAGCAAATCACTGTAATAGATTCCTCCTTAATTTTTGTCTATTCAGTGTGGTTGATTTCTGTGAACTTGTCATTTTTCCCTTATATTTCTCTATTTTTCTTTATA